TTTGAAAAATGCCACTTTAGTGATTGTGAAAGACAGAGAAGAATGTCAGTAGGGTGATCAGTTCTATTATAGTTCATTTCTATTCTCCTGTAGAAGCAAAAGATGCTTTTAGCTCTAAGCTGAAACAGAATGAAGTATGTGTATTTAGGACCTATAAGATCTGAATGATAAAATGCTAAATACTTTTTACTAAGGGAGGTAAAGAACAAACTAGAAGGGAAGACTTAATGTGGTAAAAAATACCCTTTCCTCAAAATAATCTATAAATTTAACGCAATCGATTCAACTCTTTTTTTTTATTAAGTCATTTGTACATAGATCATAAATACATTTATGCCTTTATGGGATTCAATGTGATTATTTGTACAAATTGGAGTGCTTACATCCTACTAATCAACATAGCCTTCACCTCAATTACTCAATTACAGGATTAAGACATTTGTGTTCTACACCTGATAGATCCAACTTGTACTTACAATATGCTCCATAGATGGAGCATACCCCCTACCACTCCCATTAAAAATGAAACACAACTATAGCCTAGGATGAAGGAGGGAAGGGGAGGGAAGGGGCGGGAAGGGGCGGGAAGGGGAAGGAAGGGGAAGGGAGGGGGTGGGTTAACTCTTAATAGATTTCTTCAACTTTGAAAAGCTAGAGTACAAGTTCAGTGGAAAGGTAAAAATGACGATTTCGAAAAAGTGCAGTATCAGAAAACATGCTAATAAATATCAAAGTATATTACAAAACTATGTAATAGTGTAGTTTTGGCTTAAGAACTCAGAAATAGATTAGTGGACTAAAAGTGTTTAAAAATGACTTATGTTAATATGGGAAATTTTCTTTTTTTGGCTAGGACATCAGGTGATTAAAAAATGTATATCCCTAACACATACCACTTGGAAATAAATAATCCAGACTTATTGAAAAAATTAAAAAAATAAAGCCCATAAAAGCATTTGAAAAAAAAGTAGAGAATATTGGTTTAATCTTGGGGTGGAATAAACAGAAAACTGATAGAAGGGGGGAAAAAAAACCAAAACTAAGCAGAAGCCATAACAGAAAAGATCAAATGATTTAACCTCATAAAAACGAAAGCCTTGGGTGTAATAAAAGACATCATTAACAAAGTTAACAAGACAGAAAAGGCTGGGAGAACATGCTTGCAACAAACATTTAATACACAAAGGGTTAAAAGGGAATTTACAAAGAGCTCCTAGAAACTGTGAATGAAGAAAACAAGTGCTCCTCCCTGACCTCCAACGTCAGAAGACGCTATTCCCAGAAGAAATACTAAAGGCTGACAAAACACTGAAAAGATGATCAAGCTCAGGCTCACCGGGCACCAGAAAAATGCGAGTTAAAATAGGTTATCACTTGTCAGTAAACTGACGAAATGTTAAAGACGGACAATTCTGAGCATCGGCCAGGATGCAGAAAAATGGTCACTCTCCCACATAGTCAGGAGCACAGGTTTATAATTTACCAGCTGGCAGAGCAAGTATGAGTATAGAAGAAAATTTGGCATTATTTATCAGAATGTCAAAGGTGTCCCTCACTGCATGGGCGAGGATTTCAATTCCTAAGGATACAGCAAAGAAAATGAAAACACACATACCCAACCCAAACTTGTACTTGAAGGCTCCTCACAGCATTGCTCAGAAACATGGACACTCCATGTGTCCATTAACTGGTCAACAAGCAAATGTGGTAAATCCATACAATGAAAGTCACCCAGAAAAGGGGTGGAAATACTGGTACAGGCTAAAACATGCTAAACTGTGAAAACAGTTCACATGCTAAACTGTGAAAACATTATGCTATGTAAAAAAAACAAAAAACCCCACAAAAGACCAAATATCATGCTATTCTATTTATAACAAATGGATCAGAACAGAAGAATCTACAAAAAGTAGATTAGTAGTTGCCGGAGCTGGACTGTAGGGAAGTAAGGAGTTACTGCTGATGGGAACAGGGTTTCTTCTGGGGTGATAAAAATATTTTTAAATTAACAGTAGTAATGGCCACACCAACTCTCAGAACATATTAAAAAATGGTAAATTATATATGTGAATTATACCTCAATAAATCTACTAGTAAAAAAACTTAGCAGATGACTAAATTTTTAATAAACATTCTACTTTTAGGCATCTATTCTATAAGAGTTCATAAATATATACAGAAAGTCTTATATACAAAAATATTTTAGCATTGTTTGTAACAGCCAAAAATGGAAAACTCTATTCACCATAAGTGAACTAAGGCAAAAGCCAGGCTAGGGAAACAATATGCTTCCTCACATACCATAGATCAAGCACTGGTATTCTGAATGAATGAAGGTGAGAAAAATGCCCCACTTATCTTTCTATGAACCTGCTTTGGCCTTTCCCAGGTAACACATAATATCCATTTTCTCTCTCAATGCCTGACTGGATTTTAAAACTACTAATTATATTCTTTCCTATGTTCTATGCCTCCTCGTGTGTTGTCAGAGCAGGAAATAAGGCCAATATACTTTGAATGAATGTACAAATTTTTAAGTTTAGGGGCTAAAAATGAATTCAATTTCAAATCAGCATTCATAACTATTAGAGAAAAATGCAAAAAATATACCCTATTTTCAAAATCATTACTTAGTTTTAATTTTTAAAGTATACTTAAAAAATACCCACGGCAAAACAATAGCTTTAAAAGGCAGTATTTCAAGAAATAAGAAAAGATAAATTTACCAACAAGCAAAACTTGGCTAATGAATTCTGTACAAGAAATAACAACTTCAATGGCAAGAAGAGCTTATGTGAGGCTAGGTGAAGGCTCTCGTTTGGAAGTAGGACAGGAATCAGAGAATTCAGAGAATGCACAGATGACTAGTAGCAAGTCAGAGCACAAAAGACTAGGTGGAAAGAGTTATGGTCAGAGCACACAGTAGGAAGTAGCAAGAACAGAGGCCAAGGGAATCAAAAGGCATCTAAACCCAAGTTCAGCAAGAACCAGATATTTCTTCCCTAATCATCTGACATAATATAAGATATCCCAGTGGCCAGCAACCACTGAGAGGAGAAAGATCATGGAGGGCAGAAGTTATCCTGGATGAGGGGGGGAGAGAATAAAACCACTGGGAGGAGAAAGATCACGGAGGGCAGAAGGCATCCTAGATTGAGGGGCGGGCTAGAATATAACCCTGCATGTTACTCAGGAGAGGAAGATACTTTTCACTGGCAGCACAAAGTTTCAGCTATCTATCAGAATAAGGATTCAAGAGTAAGATGAGGGTGGCACCTGTGGCTCAGTGTGTAGGGCACTGGCCCGATATCCTAAGGGTGGCGGGTTCAAATCCAGCCCTGGCCAAAGTGCAACAACAAAAAAAATAGCCGGGCATTCTGGCAGGTTCCTGTGTTCCCAGCTTCTTGGGAGGCTGAGGCAAGAGAATCGTCTAAGCCCAAGAGCTAGAGGTTGCTGTGAGCTGTGACACCACAGCACTCTACCAAGGGCAACATAGTGAGACTAAGTCTCTAGAAAAAAAGATGAACCCAATTTCAAAAAGCAGAGCAAGATAACTTACATAATTTTTCAGTCTGTGACTTTCACCATTTAAACTTTGACCTTTACCAGAAATCAACAAAACTAGGTTCTCCCTCTAACTGTAACACAAAGTGAATAATTTTAAGACCTAACGTAGGAAGTGAATTCTTAAATTCCTTACATAGTGAACACACTGGTTGTGTTCCAGTGCTTTTTAATTCTGAAGTTCCATAATTCTACTGAGTTTAAAAATGTTATACCCTTTCATGTTTGCTATTTTTATACATATTTTTAAATTTGAGAAAAATTCAAATGAAAAATCAAGAATTTCCTAAATGGAGGAGCAAAAAGTGGTAGCCATTATTTTCTCAGTCATATTTGCTCTGTCATTTGGTGACCGTTTTATCTAATTATAAATTAGAAGAAATTAGAGAATAAATTGGCCTGTGAACTAAAGGAACTTCAGTAAGAGGTACACAGTAAGTACTCAACAGAAGCTGAATGAGTAAAATGAATTTAGACTGACCCAGATTTAAACTGGGGAAAGGAAACTTTATTCCGTTTTTAATCAGCTCTCCTTAGATAAATGGATCAGACAAAACAAATTGATTTCAAAGTTCCCGGAAACATATGAAGTTACAGAAAAGAAGCAACCGAGACCAGAAATAAAAGTAATAGTGGAGGGGCTGGTAATTTAAAGTTTCAACTGACATTAAATTGTCCAGCATTTTGAATGAAATTATGCACACTGAAAGCAATATAGAAAAAACTACTAGTAGGTAGCGTCTGTGGCTCAAAGAAGTAGGGCGCCAACCCCATATGCTGGAGGTGGCAGATTCAAACCCAGCCCCGGCCACAAACTGCCAAAAAAAAAAAAACCTACTAGATTATCAAAGCAAATTATTTCAAATCATAATACTTTTTAATTCTTCTCAAATTTTAAGCAAAGACTGCAGCAGTGTCTCTGTATAAGTATGTGCTATGTTTACATATACTAAGAGATCTATGTATTACTTTTTCTAAAAAAGTTCGTCCTACATCCCAACTTTATTCCAGACAGAGTGAGAATAAATGGCTTAATAACCGACTAAATAAAGTCACACACTTTGGATTTGAATTCAAGGTTGCCTGGCTCCAAAAATCTATGCTCTTAAGTTTTTTTTTAATTTCTCTCTCTCTCTCTCTTTATTGTTGGGGATTCACTGAGGATACACAGAATCAGGTTACATTGATTGCTTTTGTTAGATAAGGCCCCTCTTATAATTTGGAGAAACAAGAATCCCATGTACTCAATTCTGATATGAGGACGATTATGCCCTTCATGTTAAGAATGCATTGGAAACTATAAAGAATTCTTCTACTGGAAAGCATTAATCAACCCCTGAGTAATGTAGGGCCATCAAGTAGATGAATAACCACCAACTACACTTTATTGACATATTAATCATCATAGAGATAAACACAACAAACAATGTACTCACTCATTCCTGAGCATTCTCTGTCACCGTCCCAGACGTTAGAAACAGCATGTCCCGTCAGTAGGAGGTTAATTAAACTTTGGCTTTTAAAATTAAATTAAAAAGCAATTATAACATAATTATACAAGTTTCAAATAAAATAATTCCCATGGAAAATATGAATTAATGATTTTTACATTAAATTATGTTAAGAAACAAAGTTAGGGAAACTTAATACACTCAGCCTTGCTAAATAAATGTATCATCACAATAGTGCCTGTGGCACATATTCACATACATTTTAACAATTTTACATAAGATCTAACACTTAAATGGATAAAAAATTAATGATACTTAGACTTTTAATTGCTAACAATCATCTTTTCAAATATATAATTATTAATCATTAATATTTTGTCTTTGATGATAGATACATGAGGCAGAAAGGTCTTAATAATGACTCACGTATTAGAGTGAGTTAACTATCACTGTTTCATTGGCTTTGACACAAATATAAAAACTTTGTGGAGCGAGCTAAGTTCCCACCTTTGGAGCACAATGTAGGGTACATGGCACATCTCCTGGGTAAAGGAGTCAACTACAACTCAGACTTTGGACTTTACTTCACAAACACAAATAATGTAACCTAATGGTATGTACCTTTGCATAACCCCCCCCCCCAAATACATATATACACACACACATATATTCATATAATAACTATAAAAGGCTTGAGAGGAAGGGTAGTACTAGGAGAAAATGGAGAATTTTTTTTCATCCTAAGCAGAAAAATACATATAAATTGGTTAGGACACACTTATTTCTAAGACAAAGGAGCACATTTCATCTATTAAAAAATTTCATAACTGAAACAAAGCAGAATTTGTTAAAATACCTCTCCATTGTTACCTGAAAATATTTGACACAATAAATACAATATATGCATAAACCAAAGCTGGAATTAACATTTCACAGCTAAAGCAAACAATCAATCATAAAACACAAGACCGCTCACATCTATACTTCATGCTGTCAACACTATTGACAAGCAAAATCACCTGACTCAGCCAAATTCCCAGTTCCCACACAGTCACAGTCCACATAAGGGGATGATAGATTTCAATTACCTGCCATGTCCATACACAGGATCTATCAAAGGTTCACTTGCATCTTCAATTTCATTTTTTATGTTTTCAATGCCCTAGAGAAATCGAGAATTTCAACTGGCTTATTTTAAAAGTAGTGAAAATTATGGCAGCTTGAAAACTGAACAGTTTGTACTATAAATTAATAAAATACATTTAAGTAACTTTTTATCCAAAGAATTATCCAGATTTTAAGTGGGGGTACCTCTGAGATGATAATTGCAAAAAGTAGTTCTTCAAAAATCTTTTTTTTTTTTAAAATGGTGCCTACATAAAAAACACAAATGAGTAAAAAGATCTAATGTTGGTTAAGGAGAAAATTATTTAATGTAAAAGTTAACATTAATTAAACTTTAGGCTAAATCAAAATCTAACATACCTAATAAAGCAATTGATTTTTTTTTCGTGTCATGTAAAAAACATACTAGACATCATGCATACAGGTACTGACAGATAAAAATTTAAATGCACAAAAGATATAATTGACAAATAAAATGGAAAGTTTGCTTTCTTACAAATATTAGTAATTAAATGTGTGCTGACAAAATGAAATATAATTAGGAGGATAGGAACCTTCTTATTTTCTTGACAACCAATTCCCTGATAGTTTTTAATCCTCCAAAAGGACATCCAACTTCCAAAAGTTCCTAGATACTGGATAAGCACAAAAAGACCTGAGTATTTTAATCTCATCAACCCCCAAATGACAAAGATAACCTGCCATTCTTTGTGCTATGACCCTACTGTAACCCTTGGTTCTAACACATAGGCCATTTCTGCCATGACTAAAGATTAAACAGAACTTTAATCAACAATCACAATGTTAAATTACTGCCTAAATATTGTAGAGGGAAGCAAAAAAGGATGGAATCTGGCACTTGTCATCATTGTGAATGACAACACAGAGCAGACAAATGACAACTCACTAGGGAGGGACAGAGTATCACAGCCAAGGAAGAACGACCAGCGTGGTAATACACTGGCGGAAAAGAGTAAGAGACAAAGGAGGTATCAAATGTTTCGGGCATCAAAACCCGGGGAAATAATCAACTGTCAGGGGCTCACAAAAGTCCTCTCATCTTCAGATACCACCATTATTGCTACTGCCAACCTCTGCATAACTACCACCTACTTTGGGTCCTTTTTCTTATCTGTTTAGATTTATTTCTCTCACTGTTTACTCATCTAAATATGTTCCCCTTCTCTTTCATTCCCCCGTCACTTATTAGTTTCGGTTTCACCTATTTTGATACCCACTTTTCAGTTTTCTTGACTTTGGTCTTATATTCCATATACTACCTCCCTCCATCGCAACTCTTATCCCAATTTAAAGCATCTTATCAACAAAAAGATCTTGCTATTCCCTTGTTTAACACTTTTACTGTGTTCTAATTTTGAGCAGATGAAGTCTCGAGGGTTCTGAGTTGTGCGCAGTGTGAAGGAACTATTCTGAGCTTGCTTTAGGTAAGTGCCTTGTCCCCTCTCCCGCAACTGCCCACCAAGTGTATTATGCTGCACTGCTTTACACAGCTCCCCAAACCTGCGTCACGTCCCCAGTCTCTTACGCTTTCATACTTGCTGTGCCCACTGCTTAGACAATTTCCCTATGCTTTTCCATAGAGAAAACTTTCACTTTTGCTTCAAGTCCTTACATCAAATGGCCCCTATTTCCCTGGTTCCACCAGTAAACTCAGGCACACCTTCTACTTCCTCACCATGCTTGTAATGTAGAGACAAAACACCAAACAAAACAAACAAACAAAAAAACACTGCCATAATGGATTTACTATAGCTTTTCTCTCTCTCTTTTTTTTTTTTACAAACAATAAATGGAAACCATTTAAAAAAGTGCATTTTATATTACAAGTACAAACTCTAGCATAAAGTCAGTGTTCAATAAACATTTGCCAAGTGAGGGAAGTTTGTTTTTAGATGTGGTAGATGTAGCAGGATATGAACTGAGACTAAGAGATTAGTAAAGATACGAGATCGACTTTTGGGGGAAAGGTTAGGTCTGGAAGTGTATATACTGCCATCAGCCCCATAAAGCTAAGCTGAGAGAATGGAATATCTATAAAAGAAAAGGCATAAAGGACCCAGGCAATAAAACTTCTGAGATATACAAAATTAGAGGGGGAGAGAAAAGAAAAGGAGATAACAGGTCAAAGAGGAAACTAAGCTATCAAAGAAAGTAAAACAAAAGAATCATGAGACATTATAGGAGGAAAACTAGCATAGGGATTTATCAGAAAAATCAAGAAAGGGGTTGGGGACACAGAGGTGCTTCTAGAAGGGGTAAAGGAGCCCAGTACTAGACAGTACTAGGATCAAAGGACATAAACTTCAGAAGAACAATATTTCATAATTAAAGCATTACTGACAACCTCTGTAGTCCAGAAGAACAGAGGTGAAAGCAAGTTTGAAAGTGTGTAAGTAATAAGTGAGTCACTGGAGAGGAAACAAGTTAATTTCTTATTATCACCATAAAAGATCCTTATTCTGAGATTCAGAAACAGCATGAGGCATAAAATTACTCATCAAAGCAGGAAAAACAGCACTAAACTAAGCTAATAAAAGTCAGAAGCAGCATCTTAAACAAACCTTTGTCAGTAGCACAGAATATAGAAAAAGTAATACTCCAAATTTGTTTCCCCACATTGAATATTGGTCCAAGACGGCATCTTTTAATTCTGATAAACTTCTGAATGATCTTTTTCTAAGGGAAAAAAAGAATCATGCATTGGTATTATGATGAGATCGACTACATATAAATGGGAAATTTTTTCTGCTTTCTTATAAAACATACAAACAGGAAACCTTTATAAGTTTCTCAAAATTTCAAATGCAAATTTAGCCATTAAAAGCAAAACAGATTTCTAACAACTACCACTGTATATAACTTATATCACTAAGATAGAATGCCTACTTAGCAGGGAACCTCTTCATCTCTTAAGTAAACTGACATTAATAAATTCTTGAATAATATAAATTTATTTTAAGAATAGAGCAGCCCTCTTGTAAGAGGGATTAAGAACAAAGAAAACTTCATTTTTTTTAAAGCCTGGGAATTATTTCACAAATTTCTGAATGCTAAAGGCTAAGTTAGACATTTGTGGCTTCTTTAAAAAAAAATTTAATGTTAAATTTCAAACCAAATGCCACCTATAAGTCTATCAACATAGCCATCCTTACCTTTTATTTTGTAATGAAAAATTTCAATGCTTTAATGAAAATTTAAGCACTCCATTAAAAAAAAAAATCACAGAAAGGATTTTCAGCAAGTAAAAATTCTAACATTTAGCCCAGTACAAATTTTTATATCCATTCGGGACAGAGAAACATTAAAAGAAAATGATTTTTTTTTTTTTTTTTACTGTGATAATGAAAAAGCTTTAAATGTTTTTTTTTTAAAGTGTATTTGAGTAGTTAATTAGGAATAAGAATAATTTAAGTATACATTTACAAATTATTCTTTTTTTTTTTAATTTGAAGGCAAATGAATCTTCAAGCCATGGATTCAAAATTAATGTTTAAGTAGCGCAGTACTGTACAAAACTTAGGAACCTTTCCATAGTATGAACAGACTTTAAATGGCAATGTGTCCACAAGGTAAGTATTTTAAATGTTCCGATGTTACTTACTGAATTAATGCATGAAATCGCTCAAAGCCAAGCTCTTCGACAGCCAAGGCAGCTATACATAAAAGACACTTTTCAGCACTACACATGGCAAATAAATGACACAAGATACACACAGCAGGCTGTAAATACTTTCAAGCAATCAAAACCTTCCCTATTTCCTTACTCCCTTATAATTCTCAGTTTATGTTCAACTTTACGACAATACAAATTTATGTTGCAACATCTTAATTACCAACATTACAACTAAAATGGATATGATACTGAGAATGTCCAAGGGTGATTCAATAATAAAACATTTTTCAATTCACTTATGTTAGGATAGTTTATAAAATGTAAGAATTATTCATAATCAGTACGTCACACATCATTATAATGTGTCTTGCACTTTGAAATAAGCTTTCGGTTTATAGATCTAGTGAAATCATCATAATCCTCTTCTTTATAACTTAAAATCTTTAGATTTAATGCTTAATTATCAAATGTTTATAAATAGGCATAACACTTTGAAACTACACAGGTTCAATGACAGTTTTAAGTTTGTTTCCTCATTTATTGGTGTAACTGTTAAGAAATTTTCAGTAACTTAGATTGTTTATTAATATAGTACAATTTACTATAGTCAATTTAAAAAATCAAAAGGAATCAAGGAAAGAATTTCAATCAAAGATAATATTTAGTGAACACTAAGTACTGGACCCTTTACAAAATGCTATATAAGTCTTACTTCATCCAATGTTCAAAACCACCCCTTTAACTCTATTTCACATAAATGGAAAGAAATTGAGGCCCAGAGAAAAAAATACTCCCAAGAGCGCACATTATAGAACAGAGTGGAAACCTGAAGCCAGAGAGTCTTGGCTCCAAGAAGATCAAGTCTTTAAAGATATCACATATGAATTGTGAATCAAAATGCCTACTTTAACTTGTTACACGTGAACAATTTCACATACACTTTATAACAAATTTTAGCACTTTCAAATATAAATTTTCACTAATGAGTTAAGGAAATTGATTCATGATAAATTCAAAATTAAAAATATTTATAATTTAAAATGTCACACTATGCTAGCTTTTCAAAGCCCAATCTTCAAGGGTTTCAAATTACTTTTTAAAATCTTTAGACATCCACATGAATGAATTTAAATCTCTTTTGGTTTATGTAGGAAACAAACTGAAATTGAACCCGAGTATTCACTTTGCAAACAAGTGTGCATTACCAACAAGCCGAACTATACACACCACACAAGCCAATGAAGTTGATGTTTGTACGGAAGGCCGTATTAACAAGCGGGGAAAATGCTTCACATTTAAAATTTCAAGCTAAAAATAAATTCTGCCTAATCTTTTCTAAGCTGTATGAACTGTTCTGTACTGTTGATTATCTAGCAATTTTACTGGGGAAACTACTAAAGGGGACATCAAGATAATAATTGAGAGAAAAGAGGCAAGCAAAATAAAAAGCTTAGCAGGCAGGGATGGTGGAAAAATATAAAACACAAGGAAAAGAACATAGCTGGGAATAAAGGGAAGAACAGGTAAGATACATTGTTATATAGAATAAAATGTTTAATAAGTTCATTCTAAGTTAAATCTAAGTTAAATTCTCAAATTTTCAGTTAACAAGAGTCTTCAAATGTACACAATATTAAAAAGAGCTAACACGTGGTTTTATTTCATGTCAACTTTAAAAATGAAATACAAACTAAACAGGAAAATTATTAAAACATATTGTTTGGAGAGAAATTCCATGTAATATGCTCGTCTAAGTTATGTACTGCAGTATCAAACTTAATGCATTATGAGGCAATGTCACCTATCAGGACAGAGACGTACAGCATATTCTTTAGCCAACACACAGTGTACTTTGTATTAGTATTGTGATACTAATAAAAAATAAAAAGAGCTTGCATGTTAATATAGAGGACTGGCTTTAGGTATATATTCCTTAACACACCTATAAAATAGTTCAACTATTCCTCTCTCTAAATGTTCATGTCCTAATTAAAACTATTAAGAATGCTTACATGCAAACCAGTAAAACCTGGAAAATATTTTAAAGCCTGTTTTAATGACGTTTTGCACTATCATCCTTGTGAATATTTTCCACTTCAAACGTCATTATCAAGTCCTAAAAATATGTTAAATTCTGTTTGATAGGTCTAAAAAGGAAACATCATTCAACTGTTTAAATTTCAAAAAGTATTCCTTGCAAATGTACTGCTATTCAAATTGCCAGGTTTAAGAGGCAGGAGAAAAAAGACACTGACAACACAGGGACATTTTAGCCCAGGAGGCAACAGTGCCTTATCCATAGATAATTCCATATAGAAAGTAAAATGCATCCAATCACAAGCAATGTACTTTCTCGAAATGTACTTTCTCGAAATCAGGTGTGTAATTTCTTCAAAAACAATTTCTGTAGAGATGACAGTTAATGGAATGTGTTGTAGATGGAATAAGTCACTTAATACAAGCATTTGGGATTACCAATTACAAAAACCACCAACTAGCAAGATTACTTCTGAAAAGCAAACCAGAAAAGTAACTTTATCTAGCTTCCATACCAGCAGCTGTCTCCATTTCACTAGTTGACTCTGGTGGTTTTTAGTTGCATTACAAAAGAATTTTCAAAGTTTAAAGACCACAGAACATACAACTTTAATGAATAATGAGAATAACTATTACTTATTTTAAAGGCCAAAATCTTCACACAAAACATGAAAAACCTCAGGCATCATTAAAGCTACCTTAAAATAAATATAGAAAAAGCTTAGGAGGAAAAGCAAGGAATAGGTAGTAAAGGAAAATGTCCCCATTTTTGCTCGAGGAAGCAACTAAAGATAAATTTTGGAATTGTTCTCATGGTAAAAAAATCTTTCTTCTATACCAAAGAAAATATTACTGTGTCTGAAACTAAAGTATACAAAAATATGTTCTTTCAACTTTCTAAATCAGAGTTCTAAAGCTCCAAAGAGATTATCAAGCAGAACGACAACAATTTTAAAAGCTTAAGAGATACGTTTCTTTTTCTTTGTAAAAAAATCTCCTAGTCATTAAAATAATTAAAAGGGAAATAAAAAAATTAAAGGCAATTAAGGCTCGGTAATTAAGCTTAAGCTAGAAAAAAGATGTATCATGAAAATTTAAAATAGTTTTTCTTCAAATTTTTCAATAGTTTGATTAAAACAAAGTTATAAGAAAATACTTCAGGAAATAAAAATGTATCTTACAAGACTGTTCCACTTGGCAACTAGACTCTGCAGGACTCCCAGAAATACTAGCAGCTTCCTCAGTTGTCTTTCCTCTTAACCATGAAACCAAGCAGTAGGATCCAGAGTTGTCACAACAAGCACTTTCTAAAACAGCACATAAGGTATGACAAAGGAGTTCCTTCTGCTCTTCCTCTAAAAATAACCAAAGTATAAGTTATAATGGATTTCTCTGAAAAAAAAAATCCTGTCATGAATAAAAATAATTAGAATGTGTTAATTTGATAAAAATCAAACATGTTAAGAATGAGAAAAAAATCTAAACACATTTTAAATTATATTTTAGAAAAAACGTGCTTGTGGATTAAAATACCACCACTTTAAATAAAGCCATCAGTTAGAAAAGAAACCCTGGAAAAAATTCAGTATTAAGCATTATGAGAAAAAAGATGCTACTTGGAATACCCTGACACTGATCGTCCTCTTCTTAAGCTGCAAAGACAGCATTTAGGCCACTGATGGTTCCTTTACTGCAGAACTGAGAATAATGGAAAGGCCAGCTGAGACCTCTAATTTTTTCCCCCTCTTCTAAATTGACCTAATGTCTTTGATCACTCTGTTCCACAGTGATAAGAATCATGAAATAACACAATGTCAGCATATATAATAATACAATGCATTACATTAGCAGAGACCATAGTGTTTATGCTGCATAATAGGTGGGTCAGTACGAAAATTTTGAGACAGACTGTTCTGTGGTCCATTATTTCACTTCCAAGAACCACAGCTGACAGCGTCCTTTCTGATTTACTTTTACACATTTCAACTTGGCTTGGCTTATCGGTGATGCTGGGAGGGTTCCATTTGTTTCTGTCTGCATGGATTTTACATTTCTGGATTTTTGTGTATCTCAAAACTTTTGTAATGACCCATGTAGAGCTCTGGACATTAGAATTTTATAGCAAATGGCACAAATGCTCAGATCATCTCTTCCTGAACTACGTAGCTGCCCTCTGCTTCTCCAACAAGATTAGTGTCAAGAAGTACCACTTTCTGAAACTTTCTAATGAAGGGGTAAGACGAGCACGCGTTCTTCACAAAACTTTCTAATACAAGGTGGTTTCTGTTTCTCCTAATGGATTAGCGGTTCTCTGAGGACAGTGCCATTCACTTTATCACCACAGCACTTAGGACATTTATGACAACTCCTTACAAACTTTATCAAAGTAAATGTAATTCTATGTAAGAACTGTTATACATTTTATTAATAGAAAGTTCATGCTAATAATAGTATCTCTTGAATAGTTTCTTCTGTACTAAAATTTATTTTGCATTTCACCTATCCATTAAAAAATATGGCAGATACCTTAGCTCTTATATTTAAAATCATTAGTAGGGTCTATGGTCATGGTTTGGAATATAAACTATTATGTCCTCACTTTAAAAACTGTGAATTATTATATTTTACCCTATTCTAGAAGTCATTGTGAAGTTCACATGAAATTATCTAAGGAAAAATCTTTGTAAGCTGTCAAGTAGAATCCAAATGTTTCCTTTACTTAATTTCATGTGAACTTCACAGTGACTTCTAAAATAGGGTAGGATATATTATAATTCCCAGTTTTTAAAATGAGGGCTTATATTCCAAAGCAATGTATTCTGACTTCTAGAATAGGATAGGATATATCATAATTCCCAGTTTTTAAAATGATAGCTTGTATCCCACACCAACTATAATAATCCTGAGTGCTTACTCAGAGCTAACTAAAAAAGGGAAGCACACATGATTATTCTTTATGGTATGCTATCATCTAACAGTTCCGGGAAATGCACCACTTTTTAGCAAGTGGCCAAAGGTTTTTCCCTTTGTTATATTATCCTGAATTATTAAATCTCTTCGAGAGAAGCCAAATTCGGAAATAGATATTTTAAAATTTAGAGTTACAGTGTATGAAGCATTCTGAAATATTTTAAACAGAAGCCGGGGGGGGGGGATCCATTGATTCTTTATTCTCTTAAAAAGATTTTTTTTATTAATTTTATTTTTTACAGGTGAGGTCCTGCTCTTATCATTCAGGCTGGAGTTCATTGATGCAATCATAGCTCACGGCAGTCTCAAACTCCTGGGCTCAAATGACCCTCCCACCTCAGCCTCCCTAGTAGCTGGGACTGCAGATGTGTGCCACCATGCTCAGCTTGGACAGATAATTTTAATTAAACTACTGCCAATGAATGCCATGCAGATGTTCTTTAACTACAGTGAAAATTTTAAAAGGCAGTTGTCATACCTGAACAATCCCGCCAAGATGACTTCTCAGAAGAAAACAGGAGCTTCTTCAAAAGAAATGCCTTTATACAATTAAAACAATAATTAGTAAAATGCACTATAAACATAAATCATTCTTTAAGATGGGAAAAACTAATTTGTACCTTCCCATCCTTTGCATAATTCTACAAAAACTTTAAACGGCTTCCTTTCAAATGCAACGTGAACTGTGTGTATAATTATTTACTTAGAATATAGTAACAAACCTGATTCTACATTCATACAATTCTTCTCCCACAATATATATTTTCTGACAAGGAGAAGAACTGACCGAATAGACACATAACTGGAAATCAGAGAAACTCACTGCTCCATTCACAAAATGAAAACCCTAGCGAACAGGAACAAATCTTTCTCTTAGCTTCCTTGGGGTAAAAGAAATAGAAATACAAAAGTGGTTCTGTTCTCTTAGCTCTCATCTGTGACACAAGAATAACACCATTAGGGTCATCGATTTATTATCAGCAGCGCTTAACTTCCTGGTTTAACTCAAAAAGCTATAGGATTCAAAAGAAAGACAATGATATATAAACTTTCCTTTAAGTCGGTCATCTGCATATTACATTGGTGATTTCACAGAAAGCAGGTCAGTGTAGGACAGTGAGAAGTGTCTCCTTCGCAAACTGTAGTTCAATGATACTTTCGTCCTAGTAACCTGACTTGTTGGTTTGAAATTTAGATTCTTGGGCTCCACCCATTTCATCTGAATCTCAAAGGCAGATCCAAGAAAAACAGTTTACTGTGATATTCTCACTCACGTATGTTTGAAAGCATTAGAGTACAGATGAAGTGGAATGCCTTTATGATAAATTAAGAACACTGCTTTTATTCAGACAAGCCTACTTTGGAATCTTAGTTCCACTATGACTAACTAAAAATAACAGTACAAACTCCACAAAGTTACAGAGAGGAGAATATGAGACAATCTATGGATTGTGCTTAGCACGGTACTTGGCCCTAATAAGCAGTCAACTGAAAACGTTTTTGAGTTAAACAAGGAAGTTAAGAGCTCCATACTTTTTAACCAGTAAGTAATATTCTATTGTATTTACATAGAAATATAATCTATAGATAAAATAATTAAATGCTTCTGATTCTTCTCCAAAATAAACACCATAAAATGGAGCAGTATAACTAGGTACAACATTTTGGAAGTAAGGTGGTGTCATCCACTATTTCACAACTAATACAACCACGGTTTAATATTTTGATGTATTTCCTTAAGGTCCTTATTCTACGTCTATTTTTAACTTTATAACAAGTAAAAGGCATAATAATGGGCATGTGCTTATGATCTCTGTTTCTCTCTTTTTTTCTTTTTGAGACAGGAGTCTCCTGTTGTCCCACTCAGTACAGCGCTGTGGCATCACAGCTCACAGCAACCTCAAACTCTTGGGCTCAAGAGATTCTCTTGCCTCAGCCTCCCAAGTAGCTGGGACTACAGGCACCCACCACAATTCTCAGCTAGTTTTAGAGACTGTGTCTTGCTCTTGCTCAGGCTGATCTCCAACCTGTGAGCTCAGGCAATGCACCTGGCACAGCCTCCCAAAGTGCTGGGTTTACAGGAGTGAGCCACTGCACCCTGCCCAGTTTTTCCCTTTTTCAACAGAATACATAGCCATATTTTTTTATGACCATAATTCTTAATCACTACTTGTCAAGTTATTTACCAAAATTTACTTAACTATTATTTCAAGTTTAAATTATACGATTATGCATTTTTTATACTATTTTGCATTTTTTGCTACTTTAAATATATGAGCATCTTGTTAAATGCAACTTTTTCCATATTAAGGATTATTTCTTTAAAGAGTCATGGAAGTACAATTAATGCATCAAAGAATCTGCATGATTATAGTTCCAATTATAATGTAAAATGTATAATGAAATTGGGCATTTCATATTTTTGTGCTGTAGAGTATAATTCACCTGTTCTGATTGTATACTTACGCCCATTTCCCCACTGGAGTCTTAGTGTTTTTCTAAGTAATTTGCTCAAGTACATTTATAACATGGAGAATATCTCTTTGCTGCTCAATATTCACTGCCAATATTTTTGACTTTGGAAGTCATCGTTTTTCTAAGAGGGTTGAGAATCCATTAATATTTAGTTTTCCCATAGTTAAATATTATTCCAAGAATACATATTATATATAAGACTTCATTTCCTCCATAGATTACCAGTCATATTGATGGCATTTATGAAACCTCACTTTATTTCATGTTGTATGTTACCAGGTCTGCGATTATATCATCTGTATGGTTCCATTGTGACTTTTTCTGGCATAGCGTCATGTTCTAATTTTTATAGATTAAAAAAGTGTTACTGCCCAGACTTACTCATTTCTCTCATCACTATTAACTTAGTGTTGACTTTTAAAGTGAAGTATTAAGATAAAAATTTCTCTTATTATTAAAAAATATTTTTATTAAATCATAACTGTGTACATTTATGGGGTACAGTATGCTGATTTTTGTATGTGACTCAAACTAAATTACTACCTCAAAAGTACATAAGGGTATGTTCAGGATTTTGAGCATTACAATTGTCCTTTATTATTAATACACAGCAATCACCCTACTTAAAAAAGTGACTATTTTTGAACAATTATTTTTGAAACATACTGTATTTTAGAAAATAGGAAGCTCCAATGGTATACCCTGCAATTCACTACATTTATAGAACTTTAATAAAAACTCTACTACTACTGACAAGAGTGGCATCTTTATAGAATCTAATGTACAGATATACAGAACCAAGAATTTTCAAATTCAGACATTGTTCCTACTGGTAATCAAAATTTGCCTCTGTTACTCAGTACAATTACAGTACTTACTAATTTATAGTTAAATTTCAGTCTTTATATTTTATAACTCCAAGGCAAGATTCAGACATTCAAATTTTTCACGTTCAAAAATAAGTCCACTAAAAAAAAAGTTCGCCAAAAAAAGATCAACTTTACTTTTTACAGAAATAAAATAATGACCTACAAAGAATACGTTTTGTAATCAACCACGAAAGGAGGTTTTATTCCTTTAGAGAAAACATCTTGAATAATGTAAATGTATGGAGCATAAGGTTTGAGAGACAAATTTACTCTGCAGCTGATAGTTCAGGAATGCATTCTTTATGCCCGATAAATAATAAATATCACATTAAATATGTATTTTCAAAACATGACCAAACAAAAATGAATTACAGCTAATCCTTTATAACAGTTTTAAAGTTACTGTCATTCACGGACATTGTCAGCCTTACAGTAAATTGAAAATTTAATTCTTGGCTTTAGCAATGTAATAGTTTATAGCAAATTAGCCTCTGAAATTCAAACAATGTAACACATAAAGAAAAGGCACTCAGATAAACCCTATCTTTTATGCAAAAAGAAAATCTTTGATTTTTGAAATTCTGTTTGAAATACGTTGCTACCATTTTTATCTAAAAAGGCCAAAGCTACTGCCTAAAATAGTATAAATGCCACCTTATTTTTTTAAATTTTAAAGTTCTAGGCCATGAAAATATTAACTCGTCAACATTTTAGAAAATAATTTTTATAGACAGAACAAATGAAACAATTCAAAATCACTACGATTGTACCTAGAGCGAGCATAAAATGTCACTACTTAATAAGATCTTTGTATTAGAGAAGATGTTAAGATCAGTAATTCCTAATTTTCGGGAAGTCAGGGAACACCTAATATTTTTCCTTGGAAATAGAGAATGTCCAAAGGCTACTGTTGTGCAGCTCAGTGTTCTAAATTCATTTTTATTTTGGTATTTATAGCAATTTGCAGGAGCAAAAGTTACGAGTTAACTGATCATGTTTCACGATTATGGACGTATAAAGTACAGACATCAGAAAACAAAAAGTATGAACAGTTTCAACACGTCCCTTCTGAGGAGTGGGTAAAGGAGCCCATGTTACCTGGACAGGTGCGATCACGGCACAGGGGCCACCTTCAAACTGTTCTAATGCAGATCCCTCCGATTCACTGAACACAAATCCTAAAATTGAAAGTAGTAGAGATTACAAATCTAATTCAAGTAGTAGCTAAAAGAATTTCTCATATACTTTGCTTTGAGAAAGATCACTATGGCAATAGCAAAATACCTGCAAGCTATCACGTTCCATGGATGTTAAGTTTGGAGGAAATCAAGAAAACTTTTAAAAAATACTATGGAACCTATGCCCCCTCCCATGCACAGAAGTGTGTACACACACAAGCACAATTTTGTGCCCAGGGACCCCTCAAAGGAGATAAAGTGCAGTGAAAGCATGCTAAATCTGACTTTTAATTAAATCAATTTGTTCTCATCAACTGGATTCAAACAATTTTGAGGACTCTTTCCATATAGTATCATTTCAATCTCTGAGTCAAATTCTATAAGCTAAAAATTAAATATCATACATGGTAAATGTGCTGATATCGTCTCCATCTTAATTTAGATACTATAAACCAACAATGACAACAGCCAGGCGATGTTCTTGAGAGGGTCCTGACCCAGGAGACAGGAGAGTCCTGGTCTAGGCTTTAGGATCTGTGCTCTTTTTATTCTATACAGCCTCCCTGGGTAATCTCATTTACACCTAGGATTTCCATACTAGTTACAACCAAGCAATTCTCAAATTCAGCCCAGCGTGGAGTGCCAGACTTCAGTCCTGAATAATCTGGATTCCACCTAGATCTGCTTCATCCTTTGTCACTCTCCCTCTTCAGACCCCACGCACGCTGAGCTTCCTTCAGGCCCTACGAATATCCCATTTTCCCTCTGCTTTCTTACTCTTTGCACATCATGGTCCTTCTGCCTACGACACTTGCCAACCATTTCTTGGAACAACTCTGACTTACCCTTTAGGGTAACCTAAAGTTTCACCCTAAGACCAAGTCCCCTTGGTTCAAGGCTCTGCCTCCATCTCTACCCCACCTCTTGTCCACCTTACAGTTCAAACCACCCTCAGGTCTCACCTGGAATGCTATTAAGCATTTCCAACCAGACCTCCCTTCCTCCTTCCCAACTTGCATCTCTTTCAAGAGTCGCCAGAAGAGTATTTTAGAAATGGAAATCAGATTTTGTCACAGCCTGCTTAAAACATTTCACTGCAATTAGAATAAAACCAAAACTCTGTTTGATGACCTAAAAGACAATATATGTCTGTCAATCTAAATGACCCTCAGTTCACTCTCGCCATTATCCACAGTGACTTTAGGTCTCCCTGTGGGGCTTGGATGCCGGCTGCTCTGACAGTATCAAGCCCTCTTTCTCCTCCTCTCTTCATCCAACTAAATCCTTTGGATTCCTCAGTACTCAGGTTAGGTATTAACTCATCAGAGAGCTATTCTAAGTGGCCTCTCCCTATCATCCCACAGCACAACTAGCCTTTATGATGCTCTGTATGTAATTACTGTCTACTTGTTGACTCTCTGCCTTGCCTTAGGTAAGGTGCCTATTTTACTGACCACTGTTTTCCCACAGTAGGTGACACAGCTATCGCTCAAGTAATGCTTGCTCCTTGAAGCTTTGGCAGAGAAGATAATGGCGGGTGTTTGTTTCTAGGAATGTCAAGGTCAGTTTCAAAAATGTGAGATAACATATAGAAGTGGGAGATGCTGGTCTGGTGCTTAGGGCAGGAGTGAGGCTAAGAGATAGCAATTTGAATCATCCTAAACACAACACCTTGACTGAGTTAAAGCATGCAGAACAAAAACAATGAAGTAGGAAGCATTAAGTAGACAGACAAAGAGTAGGAAGGTTAAGAGAGAAATAGATTAACTGAGGTCCTAGAAAGGCAAAATCAGAAGCAAAGAACAGTCAACTGCTGCAAAGGCTGCTGAATAAAGACCTAAGTTAAAACACTGGATTAAGTATGTCATCGCCAATACTAGGAAAATAAAAAAAAAAAAAAATTAGAATGCTGAGGAGAGTAGCCAAATTTTAAAGCATTAAAGTATAATTCAGATAGAAAAAGAAAAAGCAGTGTACAGTTGGCCCCCTGTACCTGTGAGTTCTGCATTTGTGGATTCAACCAGTTGCGGGCAGAAAATATACAGGGAAAAAAATAGTTGGGTCTGGATTTCCTTCCTTGTCATTTTTCCCTAAATAACGCAGTAAATAACACAGTAAACAACCCAGCATTTACATCACATTTGGTATCGCAGGTAACCTGGAGATGACTTTCCTACACAGAGGATGTGTGTAGGTTATCTGCAAATACCGTTCCCTTTTTGTTAGGGACTTTAGCATCACAATATCTGAGGCTTGGAATCAGCAGGTGGTCCTCAAACCAAAGCCCCTGGGGTAACAGACAGACAACTGTATTACTCAATAGGTTTGGCAGAAGGGAAAAAAAAAGAATCGTTTTTGTGCATGGAAGGGCTTGAGTTTAAAAAAAAAAAA